AAAAAAAAAAAGGTACAATCATTTGGTAGGGTTGTGTGCTAAGCCAAATGGGACCAGCCCGAATTATACTCATGGATCACTGTATTTTGACCAAATCGGAGAACGAGAAAAAAGAAATTGTGAAGATCTCTCTCATTATTTTTTTAGGTATTCTTTAATTTAAATATTTGAATATTCAATTATGAGTTGTCTCACATCGTTTATATAAGGAAAATAAACTTAATATATAAGTTCAGTGGGCTTTCCACGTCTTGGTGTGCGTTATCTGCATTGGACCACACCCGTTTTTCTCTCGTTTTTTACATTAAAGATTATGTTTGTGAGCATGTGTACTATACGAAGATGGCACAGAGTTAATATGCGATTGAAATATTATAATATGTTGGGACGTGGACATTTTAAAATGTGCCAACGATGAGCAGATTAACAAATTCAGTAAACAGAGCAAATCGATAAACAGTTACTCGAAAGATGAATCTACTTGAAAATAAGTAAAATACAAATGTCAATTTGGTTCTATTTAGGTGAACTAATTGGGTTTTATTTAGGTTTGTGCCATAAATTTGATCAAAGAATATATAAGTTGGTGTATTTTTACAGGTTTAAAAATAGTTTATTTTAAAAATTATAATTTAAGGTATTAGAACCGAGAGAAGTGAGTGCGGTCTCATCAGGTGAAGTACACCGTAAGAGGGTGAGCCTAGATGCACCTTAGTGAGGTTTCATCCCTGTTTATTGTGTTTTTGTTCTTATTTTCGTGTGTTTTATGTGCTCGAGTTTAGTGTTTCAAGGTTCGTTTTAGTGTCAACCGATCCATTTTATCGTGTGTCGTGCATTTTTATTCTCGTATTGTGTTTTTGTGGTTCCACGTACTTTTCTTGTCTTTTTGGTGGTTTTCATGTCCACATTATTCGACCTTGGGAAGATGAGCCATTTCCGAGACATTTTCGAGTCGTCCGAACCATGTTCGAGCCACGCGAGCTATTTCCGAGTCATTCCGAGCATATATATATCTATTGCACGGCAATATCAATTTGAGCACTCCAAGATGAGGAGAAAAAGATTTGGGAAGCGTGGGTCAAAGTTTCGAGTCAATCGGATAACCGGGTGAAAAGTTAGAGCAAATCGAGTGACAAGGGATTACCGGCACAAGCGGCGGGCTCGCGGAAAGCATGGCGAGCTCGAGAGTGTTGCTACCCATGCGCCCATCACACGTCACGTGCTCGCGGAAAGCATGGCGAGCTCGAGAGTGTCCCTCACCCAATTGCTCGCGAGCCCGCCGAGAGTCCTGCGAGCTCGAGAGTGTCTCCGAGCCTGACCGTCCATGCCATTTGTTCCCCGCGTGCTCGCGAATCTTGCAAAGAGCTCGAGAGTGTTCTATTAAATGTGCGTGTTTTTAGTGTGTGTTTGTGGTGTAGCTATAAGTAGACATTTTGCTTTGTATTTTGGGAACAACCCTCATTTCCCAACTTTTAAGTTGGAAAAATCCTCTCTATTTTCTTTTTTCCTTTTTTTTTTAATATTTTGGTTTGGAGCATATGAATCAAGTTTTCCGGCGAATTTCCGGCGACATTGTTTCGAGTAAAGTTTCGAGCTTTTGACTCCGTTTCTCCTTCCAAGTGCGTGTAAGAGTGGGTACTTAGTCTTAAGCCTCATTACTTCGTATATCTTTGTTTGCTTTTGCGAAAATCGATATTGTGCTTGTGTTGCTTGGAGGAAAAGATCGAATCTTTAGATCGTGAATGCTTGACTAAGTATGACTAGGAGTTAAATGCTTGCTCGTTTGTGCTAGAGTTTGGTTTAGCTACCTAGGGTTTTAGCTAGCATGGCAATGTTTGGTTAATTGTGTGCGATTGAGCATAGAGACTCCGGTGAACCAAAATCTCTCTTTCTCCCTTGATTTCTCTCATCTTTTTGCGTGCTTTAATTGCTTTCAATGCCCTCAATTTCGTAGATTAGTTTAGCTTAAATCAATCCCTTTCAAGTGAGTAGAATGTGCAGGACCTTCTTTTCGGTTGTGTGACTTTGACGACTAGATAGTGAACGAAGCTCCGAAGAGTCTTCCTTTGAGAATGACCCGAGTTGGGTAACTCGGTTACCACATGCCCAAAAAGACTACAAACAAAATGGCGCCGTTGCCGTGGAAGGCGAGTAGGACGCCAAGTTTACTATCTAGTTGTCGTTTGTTTCCGTGTTTCTCTTGCTTTTTGTGGATTTCGTTTGTTTTTGCGTGTTTCTCTTGATTATTGCCTTGTTTTTCGATTTCTCTTGTTTTGCCTTTCGTGCCCGTGTAAATATTATGTGTTTTTAGTTTCGCTTGTTGTTATTCTCTCTCTTGCCTCATGTGCCTTGGGTTGTTTCTCTTGTTCTTGTGCGAGGTATTACGCTCGAGGAGCCCGGATGGATCCCTATTCTCACTATTATGCCGGGAGCTCATTTCGTGGATACCCCGACAATTCTCAAAGGGAGATGAACTCATTTGGCCCGAGCCACCCTTATTCCACAACCCAATGTGATTATTATGATCACTATCCGGCTAATGACGAGACGCCTCTCTATTATCTTCCACCTCCCGGTTCATATGATGTTATGCCTCCACCCGAGCCGACTCGGGCCCCTCCAACCGAATTAGAAAAGATCATGGCAAAGTTGGAGGAGGACACTCAATCCCTTCGTGCTTCATTGGCCTCCCTATCCGAAAAAGACGAAACCGAGTCCTTCACTCATCCCTCTCCGGTATTTGAGCACCCATCGGTTGGCCAACCTCGTTCATCTAGTCTTGGAGCTTCATTACATTTCGAGGTGGGGCCGATCGATCGTCACCAAGAAGTTTTGGCGAGTACTCAAGACGCACTCGCGAGCCTCGCGTCGATCATCGAGGAGTTTAATAGTTGGAGGTGCATCCCGATTCCATCCGTTCTCCGTGCTACACTTGAGAAGTTCGACTCCACCGTGGTGTCTTTTCTCGACTTGGATTCATC